ACCAGGAAGTAAAGCAGAAGGAACAGGGGAGCACATTTCCAGTTGTACTCCATGCCTCTTCCTTGCTTTCCTCCCATCCAGCTTGGGGCATTAGCTCACCGCAATGGCCTGGATACATCGAAGGGAGGAGGCTCTCTTGACACAACTGATAGGGTTGCCAGACACTTTTACCATCATCTTCTGTAACTTGGAGCATTTTTGTGCCTCAGATTGTGATATGGCACACCATCGAACAGTTTTCTCAGAGAGAGGCTGACATAGTCCTGGAGAAAAAAAGAGCAAGGAGCTAGGACTCCACCACTGTCCAGGGAGAAGACGCCCTCACCCAGTGGAGTTCCAGACTGCCCAGCCAGCGGCCCTCCTTCCCTCTGCGTCCCATGGCTGTGTCTAGCAGTTCTCCAGTGGAGGCAACTTTCAGGACTAATAGGAACCTGCCTTTGGTGCTAGATCCGCAGTTGGGGAGGAGGCTGATTTGGGTTTGCTCACCTGGTAGCCATATAAAAAGGCATCTATGAAAAGCTAACATCACATTGAAATGGTAAAAGTGAATGCTTTCTTCTAAAGAACTAGAATGATACAGGGGTGTCCAACTCTCATTTCTTCTGTCCAGGACATCACCAGAGGGTCTAACTACAGCAGTAAGGCAAGAAAAGGGGCTGGAGGGCCTCATGGCTGAAAAGGTGGACATGAAACTATTTTTATTGGCAGATGACATGATCGTTTATGTAGAAAGTTCTTAATAATCTACATCATACTACTAGGACTAACAATCCAGGACAGCAAGGTCATGGACTTGCACATCAATCCACAAAAATCAATCACATGTGCCAGGCTTGGTGGCACATGCCTTTAATCCCAGCACTTGGGAGGCAGAGGCAGGCTGATCTCTGTGAGTTCAAGGCCAGCCTGGTCTACAAGCGAGTTCCAGGCCAGCTGGGGCTACAGGGAGACCCTGTCTCAAAAAGACGGAAAAATAAATAAATAAATAAATAAACAAATAAATAAAATCACATGTATGTTGGAGGTCAGAGGATAACTTCCAGGGCCCATGCTCTCCTTTCACCATGAGCGTCCTAGTATACAATTCAGGTTGTCGGCCTTGGTGGCAGGCCCCTTTTCCTGTTGAGCCACCTCACCTACCCTTCAGTGTGATTTCTGTCAATACCCCCATACTCCCAGGCAGGCAACTGTGGCTTTATCTAGTTATGCAAATTGCCAGTTAAGAAGTGTTGGGTCTAGAATTTGAACCTAGGTAGTTGGGCACTGCCCCCCTGCTCTTACCACCAGGCTAGCCCTCCTATTTAGGATTGCTGGCTGAGAGACAGGTGCAGTTGCTGGAGGACTGAGAAGGATTGCAGGGTCAGATTGTAGAAAGACTCCAGTATCCGTGCAGGAGATCTTCTTTGGGAGGCAGTGAAGCTGTGACTCATGGGGGAGGATGGAGGTAGGGGTGCTACATAGGGAAGGGGCAGGATAGACTGACACCTGGGGAGTAAGCAGAGATGTGGCCAGACAAGGTGTGAGGGAAAGGACAGTCTGTGTGGGAAGAAGGAATAGTATTGGGGACAGAGAAGGGGGCAGAAATAGGGAGTTCATGTCAGAAAATAGCTGGGTAATGGATGAGCGCTGGAGGTAACAGGAGACAGCAAAGTGGGGACCATTCCTTAAGTCAAGGAGTGGAGCAAGTGCCCAAGGAGACTTACCCAGGGTGACTAAAAGACCAAGTGCTCTTTCAACTCTCCAATTTCCCATCCCTTCAGATACCAATGCTCTGTACTGAACACATCCCCTCCCGAGCCCCCTGTACCCAGTGCTGGAGCTGGGCATTCCCTCAGCAGTCAGGTGCTCCCTGAAGGAGTTGGGTATCCTCCTCCTCATCCAAGTGCTCCCTGAAGGAGTTAGGTACTCCCTCAGCAGCCAAGTGCTCCCTGAAGCAGGTGTGAGCCTACCCCCACTCACATCCCCACCAGTATGCCTGCCAGGATCAGCCACTCAGATGTTGAGTCTGTTTGGCCCTTTCTCAGATTCCTCAGGGTCCTTCTTCCATACACACAGACAGGGCCCTGGCCTGCAGGCAGGAATGAGGATGGGAGTGACCATCCCTACATACTCATGGTCCCTGGGAGGCACCCAGGCATACCAGGCAGCCTACCGGGAACTTTCATGGGTGCCTCCTAACCCAAGGCTTCAGGGGCTCCCCATCTACCCCCAGTACAGCTTGAATGCAACTGGCTCCACCCCTGCCAGCCTGCACGCCTGTCTATGTGAACAGAGCAGGGATCCACAGAGCAGCAACTATCCCCTGCTTCAGGAAGGGTTTAGTGGTGTTTTGGGGTGCAGGGCACCCTTCCATGCACTTGGGCTTTAAAACTGTGGGCCTGTCTGTAAAGGTCAAGACGATTAAAGATAGGAGTGAAATGTCCTATGAGGCCGCTTGGAACCACAGTTCTAGACCATGGCTTATGGCCACCTGCAGGGGAGCAAGGATTTCTTCCTGACAGTCCATCCCAGGTGTCCCTGAGTTACTCAGCATGTCACATGACATGGAGCATAAAGGGAGAACAGGTTGCTCCTGGCTGAGCCCTTACTACCCTAGAGAAGAGAGAGGGAGGAAGCTAGAAGTCAAGGGCATGTTGTCTGGGATTGGAGTTGTACAATCACAGCTGCTCTCTAACTGTGTACCCTCTCTCTGCCACCTAGGATGCCCCCAGCCCCAAGTGGAGGCCCTCAGACAGGAAAAGGGAGAGGTGAGGTGTCTGGGCTTCCCTTGGCTTCTCCTACTGCCACAGCCTGATGCCCAGGGCAGCTGTTTCTGCTGCTGACCTGCCTCCCTCTGGAAGTGCAAGAAACCCCCATACAGTTATTGCACTAGAGGATGTCACTGCAGAGGACCCCTGAGCATTCCAGAAATTACCCCAGACACGCAGTTTGGGACATTCTCTGGGCTCTTCTTTTTCTGTCCCTGCTATACTGTTTCTTACTCTGGACACATTTCAGTGGGGAAATCGATTACCTCTCTTAAATGACATCTGATTACAGGAGGTCCATCTGGACGGTCTGCACCTCCCTTTCCCTCTGCCCTAGAAGGTGTTTGAACCTATGCCTATTGTTGAGCAGGGGGCACCCCGCTGCCTCCTCTCAACCCTGTGCAAAAATGGGCAAGTACTTTTTTAAATGAGGAAATCAAGGGTTGGAGAAGCTCTGCCTTGCCAGAGTCACATAGTATCTGCTCAGGTGTCCTGTGTGTCCTGAGCAAGTGGCTCGCCCTCTCTGAGCCTCACATCCCTCCTGTGTAACAGAACAATACAAGTGGTACTAAAAGTTCTGGAAGGACTCAAGGGGACAGCATCCCCAGAGATTTTCTGGAAAGCTCTGAACAGCCATAAGCATAACTCTAACTCAGTTTAGAGAGGGTAATTTCCTGTCCCCTACCACAGATGAGGACAGGCAGGACCATGCTCACAGATCACCTTCCTGACTACAGGTGTAGAGACTCAGGTGCCCATTCACAGGTGGAGAGTTCAAGGTGCCTGCTAGATAGGCACAAGGATAGGGAACCAGGTACCTGCACTCACCAAAGATCGCAAGAAACAGCAGGGCAGGGAGGATGCGCCTCATGTCTGTGATCTTGCAGGATCTGGAGAACAAGCCTGGCTCCTGTGCCCTCCCTGGGCCCCTTTATCCAGGCTGGGTGACCTCACTGGGCTGGTTCCGCCCCGTTGCCCAATAGGCCTGTCTTCCTCCCTGTGGCTGGCCCTGGGCCAGGTTTGCTTGTTCTTTGAGGCTGGCTCTGAGCTGGGACCATTGCCTCCTCTGCAGGCTCTGCTCAGTGACAGGAAACCTGGTGGTCCTGCAATACCTGCAGGGTTATTACCACTGAGTCACAACCCTGGTCTTATCCTTTCTCTGTTTTCAGTGTCTTCTAGAAGCAGAATACAGAGTAGGGGTCTTTATTTGTGGATCACTTTGACCTGTGACCCCAAAGCCACTTGGAGCAGATTAATTCTTTCCCTCCTTGGCTAGACAAAAAACTCCTAAAAAGGGTCCAGCTGCCTCAGTCCTGGCCAGCAGCAGCGGCCTGGGATAGCTGACAGGGACAACGGAGTCTGCCTACGCCTGGATGCAGGCTTCCTGTGGGCTCCAAGCCTGCCTTGCTGAGACTCACCATACAGGTCCTCAAAACCAGCCTGGGACCTCAGAAAGGAATACCACCCAGTGCTGGCCTGTGTCCCTCATTTGTCAGGGAGGAAGAGGCCATACACTCTCACTTTCTCTCCTTCCTTTGTGTGTGTGTGTGCACACGTGTGCACATGCACACGTGGGTATGTAATTAATGATACGAACATGAGACTTCAACCTCATTTTAATGAATGTCTTAAGTGTCATGTTACAACAAAGCTATTTAAACATTTATTTTGTTTTGTTTTGTTTTTTGTTTTTGTTTTTGTTTTTTTTTTGAGACAGGGTCTCTCCTGTAGCTCCAGCTGCCTGGAACTCGCTCTGTAGACCAGGATGGCCTCAAACTCACAGAGATCCACCTGCCTCTGCCTCCCAATTGCTGGGATTAAAGGCATGTGCCACCACACCCTGCTTTTTTTTTGTTTTGTTTTTGTTTTTAAGATTTATTTTTTTTAAGCATGTGTATGTGTGTCTGTGTGTGTGTATGTGCACATTAGTGCAGGTACCCATGGAAACCAGAGGTGTCAGATTCCCCCTAGAGTTGGAGTTACAGGCTGCCTGACCAGGGGGAAGCCAAACTCTAGTCCTCTGCAAGAGAAGTACTTGCTCTTAACAGTTAAGCCATTTCTCCAGGCCCTGGGGAAGCCATTGTTAAATCTGAAAGCTAGAGTCCTGCTTCTGTGACACATCTTGTAAATATCCTCCCATGATTCACAAGAGCCAAGGAACAAAGTTCTCAGGCACAGCTGCCTGCCATGAACTCATTGACACTAATGTGTCTTTTGAGGGTATCACCTAAAATTGGGTGCCCATTCATCCAGTGGGACAGTCTACAACTTCAGAATGAACAGGCCAACTCAGTCTGTATAGATGTGGACTTAGCTCAAGAGTTCACACATGAAGAAGTGAGGTTTAACCTGAGATGGGTTGCAGGTCACTAGACACTCTCTTATAGCTCTGCAATCTGTTTGTCTTGAAGGAGTAGTGTGGACAATGCTTAGCTTACTGGCCATAAAGAGCATTTCCTGGAGCAGAAAGCAGTATCAGCCAGCCATCTCTGCCAAGGGTAGGCCTGCAGGGATGCTTAGCCTTAGAGGAGCAGACGCAGCCCGAGGCTGTGGGGCCTCCCATGCCTGGGTATGAGTCATCCTGAAGCCCAAGAGTGAGGTCTGATGAGGGCTTCAGTTCACCTGACTCGAAAGCAGGGTTTGGGTTCTGGGCTAGACTCACCAACTGGAATTCGGGGTGACAGACTCAGATTCTCTCATTGTTTGGAAATGAGATATTGCAACATTAAAAGTTGCTTTCATCAATAAGTTGCTTTCATCAATAATTGCAATGGGCCATTTCAAAAATAGTGAAGAAACACAGAATTGACTAATTCTCAGGAGTGCTGAAGCATCTTTGTACCTAAATCAGCAAGTAAGCCTTGCCTTTTCATGACTATAAAAGAATCAAGAAATATCACAACCCACATCTCTGAGAGCCAATTATCAAATGATGGGTTGGGGTCAGAGTCCCCTAGACCCTCTTAAGATGTTACAGTATTGGCAAGAACACAGAACCACAACCAATCAGTCCAGCTGAAGGCGCACTCTGAGGGCTGGATTGGGCTAGGCAATAAGGCAGCCTCTTTTTCTGCTGTGCCTCCTGGGAACAGCCCACCCAGGGCAGGAGGACACTCATCAGGACATAGGCAGAAGCCCCCCACCCCGCCACAAGGTCACCTGTGCAGGAAGCTGATGTAGGTGATGAGTCTGTAGAGAGACGAATGAAGTTCCAGATCCATTGCCAGCATCCATTCTCTCATGCCAGAGCTGGCAAGTACCATGAGAGACTCTGTCATGAGGTATCTGTCCTTGCCTCTCTGCACAATGGGGGAAAGGCAGGTACAGATTTATATTTCTATCATGCAACCTCTACCTGCCTCCAAGTAGCAAAACCCAAGTGAGACTGGATCCCAAAAGAACAGCTGGTTCCCATTGCAAGGGTTCCAGAGGATTCTGAGGAGGAGTGTTTGACATGAAGAGAAAATGGCATTCCAAAGGTGGGATGTTCTAGCTAGAGGTGAGGGCCACTGAGAAGTTGGAAGGATGGACATCAACTAAGTCCTGAGCTCCACATCAGTTGTCACCTGCTTTTAGCCAGCAACCCCTGCAGGCTCTGCAGGCACCTAAGTGAATGCAACGCAAATGCAGCAACTCCCTGCAGCCCTGTACGTTCTCCTACTTCTGTGTGTGTGTGTGTGTGTGTGTGTGTGGTGTGTATGTGTGTGCTCATGCATGGAGGCTAGAGGTGGATATTAGGTGACCTCTTGCTATCTACCTTATTCCCTTGAGACAGAGTCTCTCACTGAACCTGGAGCTTTGGCTGGCTGGCAGCTAGTGAGCCCCCAGCAATCTTCCTGTCACGCCACCCCCCATAGTGCTGGGGTTACAGGTCCATGCAGCCACACCAGGCTTTTTACATGGATGCTGGGGATCCAAACTCAGGTCCTGATACCTACACAGCAAGTGCTCTTACCCACTGAGTCATCTCCCAAGTCCCCTTTTCTTTTCTTTTTTTTTTTTGAGACAGGGTCTCCCTGTAGCCCCAGCTGTCCTGGAACTCACTATATAGACCAGGCTGGCCTCGAACTCACAGAGATCCACCTGCCTCTGCCTCCCAAGTGCTGGTATTAAAGGCATGCACCACCACGCCCGTCTTAATTTAAAGTTGTTAAAATTATTTATTTGTGTGGGGGGAGGACATGTATGCCACATGTAGATGTGGAGATCAGAGGACAACTGTGGGAGTCAGTTCTCTCTTTCCATCATGTGGGTTCTAGGAATTGAGCTCCAGTCGCCAGCCTTGGCAGCAAGCACCTTTACTCACTGAACTGTTCCTCTGGCCCTCTTAATTTAAAATTTAAAGCTAACATACAAAGTAATAGGTTTCTTTATGACATCTTCATACATAGGTCATATACTTTTTTTAAACTTACAGTACAATTAGTTTGTATTTAATACGGTACTTCTCACCATGGGGCTGTTAATGAAGAATATAAAGGGTTTTTTATATTAAATAATTTCTCCATTTTTAGTATTAGGCACACTGAGTACATTTTTATTGAACTGCTTTTCCTCAGACATACAAATTTTGATTTTGGGCTATTTAATGTTTAAGTATGATATCAACTTGGGAGATAAAGCAGAAACCTAATAGAAAACATGGAGAAAAGGCCTTTCCAAGGATTCTGGAGGTGGTGATTGTAGCCGAACAGTGTTGACTTGCTAGAGTCTGAGCAAACCCTTCCTTACTCCTATTTCATGAGCTTTGACATTTCTGAAAGGAGAGCCCTTCAAAGCCACATCTGCTCATTTCACTTTCGTCTACATATGCTCAAGCAAATGCAAATGTCTCTGAACACAGAGAAACACACCTAACAGGAGAGCGACTGCATCTCAGCTTCTGCTTCAGCAACAGGTAGAAAAACAATGGCGTAAGAATTCCAATCAATTGTGCTGACACTGAAGTCACGGTGTTGGAATCTTCAGGGCTGAACTTTCCAGAGCAATGGTATGTGAAAATTCATTCTGATTTGAAACAGTCCCTTTCTGGACTTCTGGATGCTGAGATGAAGTTACAGGTGACACTGTCTGGCGGAAGGCAGCCATTACAGGAAACAGACTGTTCTCCATCCCCTTCTCTGATGCCTTCCCACCCCCCTGCACCCTCTTGCCGGTCCTTTCCCTCTATACAAATCATCTCTCCTTCTGTTCTCCTGTCACATGTATTCCATTACTCTCCCTTTTCCCTTCCGCTCTCCCTTAATATCTCTTCCTCCTCTTCCCTGGTTCCTGTTCTAGTTTCATTACCTACCTACCTACCTACACACACACACACACACACACACACACACACAGAGATAGACATACACAGGTATATAAATTAAAACAAAGATTCTACATGAGAGAAAACATGTCTTCCTGAGGCTGATTTATTTTGTTTAACAGTTTCCTGAAAATACCATGGTTTCATTTTTTTTAAGCTGAATAAAACTCCATTGTGTGTATACACTGCATTATCTTTATCCATTCATCTGTTGATGGGCATCTAGGCCGATCCCACTTCCTGGATATTATGAATGATGTGGCTGTAACATGGATGTGCCAGTATCTCTGTGCTGTATTGACTTAGAGTCATTAGGGTATACACCCTAGAGTGCTATGCGAGGTCATGAGACTTATTTCTTACCACTTCCCACCAGGTCCACCAAAGAGCCACAGAGATTCCTTCAGGTTCTCTGACCAACTGGCTCTGAGCATGCCACAGGCTTTCAGCTGAAGGAACAAATGGGCGAGGAGAGGAGTTCAATGCCTCCTTGAGGCTCCCACCTGAAGGAATAAATGAAGAAAGTAGCTCAAAGAATCCTGGTTACAACCTGGATATCCTGGAGCTCAGTGAAGGGCAAGACTGACTAAGCCCAGCCACCT